AACATGAAAGGGAGGAAATCACATAATCATATCAAATATCTTATAGTAGAGGATGGTTTTGTTTTGAGAACTGCATGTAGCATTAAAAATGAAATTACTGGGTTTTTATAAAAGGCTAGCCTCCTCAAACTGTGGAATACCTACTATATATCCAGGAGTGATGAATGTGGCACACTACTTAGCAGATATCAACAATTATAACTCATAAGACCTTTTACCAAGGAAGATAAAGTTCAATCTTTGTAGGGAACAGATGATTTGAAAGCATCAGATAGAAATGGATTCAATTCATATATCTACAAGAAGTCCTGGTCTGCTGTTGTTACTGAAGTAATTACTGCAGTTCTTCAATTATTTGACACAAGCACCATGTACACTCCTATTAATAACACCTCATTTACACTAATCCCCAAAGTAAAGAATACCACATCTATTAAGGAATATAGGCCAATATATTGTTACACTATCCTCTTTTACTGGAAATTGTTGTTCCCTGATGGTTACTATTTGATGCTAATTTTTCTCCTCTTTTTCCTTATCGTCCTGTGCCTCCCTCTTCTTTCTTTCTCTCCCCTTTTTCCTCTTCTTCTTCTCCCCTATTCTTCCTTTCCACCTTTTCTTGAGCCGAGAGTCTATCGGAAACAGCCTCTCTATCTCTCCGGTAGAGGTGTGTATACACTACCCTTCCCAAACCCCACCTGTGAAATTATACTGGGTATGTTATTGTTGTTGTTGTTACTGTTACACTATCCTGTATAAACTCATCTACAAAATGATGTTACGCTATCCTGTATAAACTCATCTACAAAATGATTACCAATAGGCTACATGTGTGATGGAATCACTGGTTGATAACAGCTAGACTGCTTTCTTATCTGGCAGGTTGAACTGATAATGTGCAGTTGAGTCATAAGCTAGTTAAGGGGTATGCGAGGAAAGGAGTTTTACCAAGGTGTAATAGACAAGACATGCAAAAAGCCTATGATTCAATTTCCTAGAGAAGTTTATAAGGTAGATTATGACTTGTGTCAAAATTGTGTCCTACTTTATTGACATAAATAGAAGTCCAACAACCCCATTTATGGCTAAAAGAGGGATTAGACAGGGTAATCCCCTATCTCCATGCTTATTTATTTTGGAAATGGCATTCTTGACTAGACAGTTGAAAACCTTAAATAACAAATCAGATTTAAACTATCATCCCAGGTGTGACAAGTTAAACATAATTCAACTCTGTTCTGCTGATGACTTGCTGCTATTTTGTAGAGGTGAACGGATCCTCCAACAGTTTTCTAAGGCTTCATGTTTAACTGCAAATCAAACAAAAGTTGTGTATACAGAAAGGATCCAACGGAAAATCATCCAGAATCTTGGCTTTATTGTGGGAAGTTAGTATTGATCACATACTGAGGTTGAGGCCTTCTGTCCAACACATGATTCAATTATACTTTCCCCTAATCCCTTTGGTAAATAATATACTTAATTACCCAAAAATAATAATACTATTTCCTGATATGTCGTATTTAAGATATTAAGATGCAAGTTTTGAAAGAAAAAAGAAAAAAATAATCTAGGTTTATATTACCAGGGACTGTATATTGATTATTCCAAAAGGAAATTAAGGTTAGCATGTCGCATGCAACTTCTGGTTGAATCATGAAATGTATATTATATACAATCAACAAACGTCCATCAAATTGAAGAATTTTTGTTCCTCAACTGTGAATAAACAGGATTTTCAGAACTTCTCTTCATAATCAAGCCAGAAGGAAGAACAAGGCCAATAGGGAGAAGAGGTATTTCTTTAGCGGTAATTACAGGTAGTACTAGACCAATTAAGTTATCCTCACCCCTGCCCCACCGGCCCCACCCCAAAAGAACAAAGAAAATATGAGAATAACTGCAGGTACCTAACAAATTTAATTAATCCAATCCTGCAGTAGGGTGATTAGTAATGTAAGCATTTGTTATGCCGAGATTATTTCTTATTCACGATTTGGTGTGATGTATTAAAAATAAAAATGCAGTTCATAATTTTTAAGAAAATTAGTTGGTTACAAAAATACCCTCCATATTCTTTAGCTTTAAGGGATTATAAGGACAATTTTGTCTTTAATCATGCTAGTGCATGCAATAATAGCCTTGGTATTGCTAATACTATGGTTTAGTTAATACATAGGTTGGAAAAATAAATATATCAAATAAGAGATTAATAATATCAAAAGCTAATGCATGCATTATTTTTTCTAATGCATCTTACCAAAACGACCCATAATACTATAATAGCATAGTTAATTTTATTTCTAAGGAAGCTACATAGTGGAAAGCATAGGAAAACTTCGTTTGGCGTTCATACTCATTCTTAGAATCCTTATTGAGTGATTTGGAATCCTTGTTGAGTGATATGATGTAATTGTGGTTTTCGATTTTGAGTTAGATACATATCGTACCTCTATTGAGGAAACTACACGGTATGACTAAAATAAGAAAATAAATACTACTCCCTTCGATTCATAATAAATGACCATTTTACCTTTGACATATCAAATAAAGAAATACGAACTTCTAGAGAAAAAAAATATGTATTCACTAAATTAACATTAATTAATTGTTATCTTGACACATTGGACTATGTAAATAAGGGCAAATTTTGAAAAAATAAAATTAATTCCTTCTTGATTATGTAACTGGACACTTATTTTGGTAAAAATTGCACGGGGCGCCCTATTTGGTCGACCCCATTTAACCTATACCCATATATTTAAAATTATTTAACCTATACCCTTATTTTGACAACTTCAGACGCCTCTTCTTCTTCCTCCTGACCTATGCGTTCCTTTCTTCCTCCTCTTCTTTTCTGATGAGTTCCCCAGTTTAGGATCTTGAGATTTCACGCTGAACTGTATCTCTTAGTTCATGGCAATATGCAAGAATAAAACCGTCATCTTCGCTCTTCGAATTTGCGTTTCTTGGTAATACATGGTTTCATTGGTAGTGGTGCCTTTCTCTTCTGCCCGCACACTCGCCGGACTGGAATCGTTAAATAAAACTTCGGACTTGGGCATCTGAAGTTCGCCAATAGCAGCGCCTAACTTCACACTCAAATGTCTGAAGTTTCTGTCAAAATATCTGAAGTTTATATCAAAATGACTGAAGTTCATAGAAAAATATCTGAAGTACACAATTGAACTGAAGTTTGCCCTTGCTTATGAACTGAAGTTTGCGTGATTGCCTTTACAAGTTTGGCCGAACTTCAGGCAAAAATATCTTAAGTTTTGCTTTGATAAGGCTACACTTCAGGCAAAAAATTATGAAGTTCAAATTTCAGACATACACAATTGAACTGAAGTTTGCCCTTGCTTATGAACTGAAGTTTGCGTGATTGCCTTTGGAAGTCAGGCCAAACTTCAGGCAAAAAATTCTGAAGTTCAAACTTCAGACATAAATTTTTGCTACTTCAGTTCCGTATGTCTGAAGTTACGCGAAAAGTGGGTACGCTTGCAATTTTTTTTGCAAAGCGGGTATAAGATAAAAGGTGGCCCAAAAACTTGGTATAAATGCAAATTCTCCCTTATTTTGGACCAAAATCAAAAGATAAAATGGTCACCTATTATGAATCGGAGAGAATATTCATTTTGGCCTAGTTCTCAACTTATTACCCACTTTAGCCCTAAACACTTTTTATAACCAAGCGACGCATTCCTTCGGCATCGCTAATGCCAACTCCAATGCCCGCTTCTTAGATCATCCCAACATCATTTGCACCATCGTCAATTGTTAAGGTGGTTTTCTAGTTTTCTTCTTTCCTAATCTGGTAACCTGATATCCAAATTGTGAAATTCGATTAGCCTATTCAATTCTAGTCCAAACCAAAATAATAAGCACTAGTATAAAGTTGACCAACAAAAATCACTGTGGAAATTTCCTTCTAATAGTTTAATTTACGCACATCATCACTCCCGCCTATTGAGTATATATATATCAGAAGTAATGAGGACCATGTATGATCGTATGCAAGCACCTGGACACAAATGCCAGATGGCTTTCACTAAACTGGTGCACTTCATCGTACCCCGTTGGTCATGCTTAGCAGTCCAAATTTATGTTAGAATAGATTGGGTACGTATTAAGGAGTTTAAATTTTAATTTTGAGATAATTTCATGGAGATCTGAGATAGTTTGAGTTGAATTTGAGCTATGGTTCGAAGGAAGAAGATGAAGTTTCTGGCATATATATATAATTGTGTATATATGTATATCCTTCTGTATCTCATGTGTATTCTTGTTTATCCCATGTATATCAGTGTATATTTGTGTGTGATGCACATCGATATACAGTTAGTTATATGTGATATACATGTTTGCAAATATATTTTTCCAACTCGATTTCATCTACAAATTTTGACTCCAACCCGGTCCTAATCATATCCAATCTTATTAAAATTTTGTATATTTTTGTTCTCTAGGTATCTTGAATGTTGTATACCATCAGTAATATTTTTTTGGCCAAAAATGGTAAATTATCTATGCCAAAGTCTTTTGGATTTTTTTTTTTAAAAAAATATCCTGTAAATACCTCATTCAATTTTCGCAAAAGGCTTACTTTAATTTCTTATATTTGAACAAATGTCAGTATTATAGGGAAAGGGATGTGATTGATCGACTGTTAATAGCTCTACGCTCCATTTACATCCTCTACTTTTGCAAATTATGTCCCTATATGTTCGAAGTTGCAAATACAATTTTCAAAAGTTTTTCTATCTAACAAAATACAACCATATTAAAATAGAGGTACACAACAATCAGTTCTAGTGCATTTTTTTAAAGAAAAGTTTCAAGTAGCGATAAATTTCCTTCATGCTTATTTCTCCTACCATTTTCTCATATTGCATACTTCTTTTTTTGTTTTTTTTTTTCTTTTGGGTTGTGGGGGGAGTGGGAGAGGGTTCTATACATATGTAATGCCCCAATTAAAGTAATATTTTGCCCTTTCAATGAACTTAGCACAAAACCAAACTACATAATGGAAATCTTAAACATTGCTTTCAACACAAGCTTGTCTCTAAAATTTCTTTGAAAATTCTAAGGTAATTTGCAACAGTTATTACAACCATGTTGATAAATAGCATGTAGCCATCTTCTTATTTTCCAAAACTAAGATATACGACTTCAACCATAAACCTTGAGGTCCAGATTTCAAATTCCATGGCCTTCACCCTTAAGGACTAAGTTTGCTTAATGTTATTCAAACAAACAGAAAAGAGTTCAACAATTACAAACAGAAATCTTGTGACTTCTTCTATGCTGCTGCAGGTTTCTGAATGAGAAAGGCCATGCACTGAACCTGTTTAACATTGTCAAATGCCAAACAACGAATGAAAGCATTTGGGTAGGCTTTCTTGCATTCTTGGATTTCATTGAGAACTTGGGATGAGTCATTGCAGCCAAACATGGGCAGCTTCCACAGTGTCCAATACCTTCCATCATAGTAGCCTGGCATGCGGCTATTTTCCCTGCGTACATATCCCACCTGCCGCATATCACGAAGCAAACATTAGTGACTCCTTAGATAATGTATGAGTTTGACTAATTTATGCTGACAATGTAAAAGGTCACCTAAAAGGTAAACTATATATATAGCAATTCATAATTGGTTTAGGTTCCAGGGGTCTCGGGTGGATTTCAGATTGCTAGCGGATTGAAAATTGGACTTAGATGATAGCTGATGTTGCAAGTCTGGTTTCCTTATACGCGATCGCATGGGAAGGACCGCGATCGCGTAGGCTCGGTTTGGGCAGCTGGATTTTGTGCTATGCGGTCGTGTGGGAAGGCCCGCGATCGCGAAGCTGTTGGCCATCAGTGCAATGCACACGCGTGGATTAAGCCGCGTTCGCATAGAGGAAAGGAGGGAGCTGGAGATTTCACACGTTATTCTACGTGATCGCATGGGGTTGTCCGCGATTGCGTAGGCCTGAGGAGGTTGTGCTTCTAGTTCGCGTGGAAAGGACCGCGATCGCATAAGGTTAATTCTTGCCAGTTAATTTTGTTCTTCGCGATCGCGTAGGATAAATGACTAGGCAGGAGAACTTAAGTTCTAAAAATGAGACTTCGTCTCATTTTCCACATTTGGGAATTTTGAGTTCGGTGAGAGGCAATTGTTCGAGATTTTTTCAAGGAAATATTGGGGTAAGAATTCCTAACTCAATTTTGATTAAATTACCCGAATCCATTGTTGTTTTTAGCATTTAATTGGTGTTTTAAGTTGGAAAAATTGTGAAAATCCTTTTGGTTAAATTTGAGAATTTGAGGGCCGAGTAGTGGCCGGAATTTAGTACTTTTGGTATGGTTGGACTCCTCGTTGAATGAGGGTTCGGATTTCGTAACTTTTGTAAATTTCGAGATGTGAGCCATGCATTGACTTTTCGAGTTGACTTTTTATTTCTTTGCAAATATCGTAAATTTTATTATTCGAATTAGTTTCCTATGGTTATAATTATAGCATGAAATTATTTTGGCTAGACTCGAGTCATTCGGGATTGGATAATCGAGGAAAATGCCTACTAGTGGAGTGAGTTAGCGTCAATTGAGGTAAGTGACTTGTCTAACCTTGTGTAGGGAATTACCCTTTAGGAATTATGTTGATTGTGCTATGTGAAAGCGGTATACGCAAGGTGACGAGTGTGTACACAGGCTAAATGTGAAAATTACTGATTTTAGCTATGTAGATTCCTTTCATGCCGTAGTTGAGTTACCTTAACATGTTATGGTCATCATTTCTAGTCTACTGTCACATGTCTACTTGTCTTATTCCTTTTACATGCTAATTGCCCTACATGCTTAATTGAAGTTCATGTTTCCTTTATTTTGTGTTCATTATTTAATTGTTGAACTCTTTACTTGAAATTGCTATTCTGAGAATATTTTGTTGTTGAAAATGGCAATGAATTTAGAATTTCCATTGAGGCAAAGTGTTGAATAGTGAAATACTATTCTGTTGAGTTATTCACTTCCAGTTGTTTGTTGAAACTTTGTGCACATTTATGGCTGAGCCGTGGGCTCTTTATTGTGAAAAATAATATTATTAGTGATTTCTTTGGCAAGTTGTGATATTTGGGCACTTGAGGTACAATTTGTGATATGTTATGATATTGATACGCATGCGGTGGTATAAGGTCTGGGTGTTGAAAAGCATACGGTGAGATAAGGTGGGCTTGATACGCGTGGCTAGTAGGGGAACTACTAGAAGTCATGCGGTGTGATAAAGTGGGCTAAAACACTGGATGCTATTTTGGGAAAAGTGATTTTTAAAACTAAATGTGAAGGCCCCCACGGTGATATAAGAAAAGATTGTGAATTTATTTATGATATGGGACTACGAGGCACTACCTCAGGAATGACCCTTGTTGATATTTCTCTATTGGTACTTGTCTTTGGTTGTTTTGTTATCCTTAACATGTAATTCTTTTTTTTCTTCCGTGGTGTATTATTTGCCTTTATTCTGTGTAGCTAAATTATGGCATACTTGTTTCATCTCCATTATCATTATTATTATTATATTGTTAAACTTTTCGTCCTGTTTCTTATTATTTTTGGTAGGGCCTTGACTTGACCTCGCACTACTCTACCGAGGTTAGACTTGGCACTTACTAGGTGCCGCTGTGGTATACTCATGCTACGCTTCTGCATATCTTTTTGTCCAGATCCAGGTACTTCCTACTAGACCAGGCATCAGTGAGCTGAGTCCGTACATGGAGACTTCAAGGTATACTTGCCGGCGTCCGCAGGCCTCGTAGCCACCCTTCTACCTAAATTATTTTAGTTCCTTATCCTCTATTAGACTCTAATGTATAGAGATGACTATTATTATTTCATAGAGCTTGTGACTTGTATTTCGTCGGGTTTTGGGCAATCATGTAAACCAGTTGTTGAATTTTAAGATCTTAAATTATTATTTCAGTTATTTCCGCATGTTTTTAGGCTTACCTAGTCTTAGAGATTAGGTGCCATCACGATATCCTACGGAGGAAAATTGGGGCCGTGACAAAAATAATTTCCAAAAACTCCAGCTACCCTCACATCTGACCCCAACCCCCTCCCCCCACCCCACCTCTCCCACCCCCTCTCTCCAAAAAAGGCTTTTTCTCAGATTTCAGTTTTTTTTCTTTTCCGTCACCACTCACCCGGCGCCCCTCCCCCCCGAAGCCCACCCCTCCAACCCCCCACCCCCGCAACATTTTTTTTATATTTTCAGTTCTGATTTTTTCATTTTTCAGTTTACATGTTCAAAATTTTAGGAGTTTCAAAGTTATGAGTTCGGAGGTTTATGTGTTTGGAAGTTTGCAGTTTTAGAAATTATAGAGTTTACGGGTTCGAAAGTTTAGCGATTCGGAAGTTTATGAAATTTGTGGGTTCGGAAAGTTGTTGGTTATATGGCTTCATGTTTATTGTATCTAAACTATTTATGGATACTCTTGAGAAGTTATTTTCCTTAATTTACGTACCAAACACCCAAAAATGAGTAAGATTACTAATTATTTTTCAAGAAAACACTTTCTTGAAAAATATTTTCCACGAAAAATATATTTCGTTATACCAAACACACCCTTAGAGGGTGTTTGGCTAAGCTTATAAGCTGGTCAAACTAGCGGATAAATTTCAGAAATGGTCATATAACTATGACCTTTTTTCACCAAAGTCATACAACCTTCATTACTTTACTCAAAAAATCATAGTTACCGGGAAAAGAACACTCTCCGGTAATATTTTCTTATTCTTTAATTTTTTTATTTTTTTAATTCAATCTAATAAATTATGACCCAATTAAAATATGACCCGACCCGACCCAATATCCATATCACAAATTTGTTTTCATGTTCGGAATTTCGTACCTGATCAAATTCAAGGCAAGGAATCCAGCCCTTTTGGATCATGTAATCAACCTCCTTTGCAATCGAATCTTCTGATTGAGGTGGCAGATATGAGAGTGTCTCAAATTTCTTGTTGTCGATCGGATTCCAAGTCTGTTAATTTTTTTAGAAAAAGGTAATGAAAAGAAAGAAAATGTCGAAATAATAATAATAATGATGATGATTTAGACGAATTGCACTTTTTAATACTCACGTTTAGGGGTGTTCATAACAATTCGAAAAATCGAACCAAACCGAAAACCAAACCAAACCGGCCAAAAAAATCGATACCTTTTGGTTTGGTTTGGTTTGGTTTTGATTTTGAATTTTAAAAACCGATCAAATTTGATTTGGTTTTGGTTTTAATAAAAAAATAACTGAAAAAACCCGAACCAAACCGACTATAGGAGTAGCTATTTCAAATTTATTAATACACCTACATATATGTATATTTTTATACAAAGTTTCAAAAAAATTATGGTGAATGTTAATCATTTGCACTTTTTGTACAGTTTTTTACCTTTATATTCTAGTTGGATTGGCAGTTTTCTTTTGTTAAGTGTAAGAATCCATTTCATGTTAAAAAAAAATATATTTTTAATTGAGTCCTTAAATTATTCATCACTATTTGATTCAATTATCATCAATATATTTTAGTAAATAATAGATTTCTCAAAGGGAAATTGATTTGATAGTGTTACGTTGAAAATGTGGTCGCCAGAATATGTGTTAGGTAGTGTATGTCTTATATTTAAGAAAAATCTGACAAATAACTGAAAAAACCGAAAATCCAACAAAACCCAACATACGGAATCAGAACCGATTTAATTGGTTTGGTTTGGTTCTAATATTTGAAAAACCAACTTACTTGATTTGGTTTCTTTTTAGGAAAAAACCGATCCAAACCGAACCATGAACCCCCTACTCACGTTAAAATAAGATTCCCGAATAAAAGAGACCTTTAAATTCTCTCTAAAATGTGTACTAAAGATTTTCTCACAGTCAGTTCAATTTAGAAGATAATTATAGATAAGTTAGAAGTCTCTTTTATAAACTTTAATTGATACTTAACTTTAAAGTCATAACTAACCTGTAAAATTAAAAATAGTATTTTCTAATAATGTAGAAAAAATATTATTGGTGTATATGGTTTAAATCCTAAAAATAAACAGTTCATTTGATTTTTATCTATGATCTTGCATTACAGATTTACAGCTCATTCTCATCATCACTTCGATCTCTTCTAACACCTTTTTCAGTATTGCCTATACTTTAATTAATTTTATATTATCATGGTATTTTTATTGTTACGTAATATAAAGAGGAGGTAGTGTGGGGTTCACTACAGATGATAGAGTCTGACATAAACTGGAAAAAAAAGTGTAAAATTAGCTAAAAACAGGGACAAAAGTGCAAAGAGAACAAAAAAACCCATTTCTATAAGAGCAAAGAAAAGGGATGACAATATCTGTTTACCTTCATGCAGTAAGTTTTAGAGCCATTGGAAATAGTTTTTCGGTTCCAAGTGATTGTATCCTTAGCAGGAAAAAGGTTGGTGCTGTTGGATTTCAAACCAAGATAGGTTGATCCAGCAATTGGAGCTGCAACAAAACTTGAGACAGACATGTTCGCCTTGACTTTCAACTACTACTTTAGTTATGATAAAGAAATATGTATAAAGACTCAAACAAACTGAGTTTATATGAAAGGGAGAGAAGTGATGCTTTGTGAATTTTTGTAAGTATACTGGAAACGGTTACATAAGAGGACAAAAGAGAGTGAGGTAATTAATAGAGAGTAAGGTGAGGAAGGGGTTAGGGGTGTATAGGGTTGGGCGGAAGACGGTATCTACGAGGGTTAGTTAGGCATAGTGACATAGGTTTCATCACCTTTCTCTTTTGCCATATTAATTAGGCAAAACGCATGTGTATGGTAAAATCCGGGATAATGTCTACCCCGATTTCTCAATAAGAAAACAGAGGAAGAGCACAGATAGACGAGATTGTAATCGAGGTTAGAGACCCTCCGTATTAAGATTCATGAAGGGCGAACGATGTGCCTGTCATCGGGTATGCACCCCGGGCCAAGAATGAGTTCTAAGATCTCGGGAGACACGATGAACGGTTACACATGACAGATAGAGGGTCGTGATATTTGCAATTAACCGGATATCACAGCGCGGATCTCACTCGATATCGATCATGGATCAGTAATTACCAGAAAAGGAAGATTTTTACCTGTTTTAGACTTATACTAGGGATGAAACTCTCTTACTGTATAAAGGGGAAGTTTTTCTTTTGTAACACACGCTATAATACGTGATATTTACTTTCTGCCTTTTAGCTATTGTAAAAGTTTTTGCTCATTTGTTATGTTCTTCATTCACGACTAGGCTAAAATCGAAGGTCCAACCGAGGACGAGGTCATTGATCAGTCTAAGCTCAGGCTTGGCCATAATATCGCAATTGGTTTGAACGTTTATTTTATCTCTAATTCGTTTATTTGATATTCTTAATTGTTCGTGTTGAATTAAATCATATATCCTTAAAATCACATACAAATTTAATTGTTACTCAATTTCTAAGTAAACAGTTTGGCGCCCACCGTGGGGCTAGGGATAATAGTGGTGATTTGACGAATCTCCACAACACACCCTATTTTACCCTTGTTTCTTGAAGTCATAATTTCAGGCCAGCCAAAAAATGTCAAACTCTCAATCTGCTCACTTGAACGTTGACGTTGAGTGTGGCCATCACGGCGAAAATAATAATTTGGTGCCCAGCAGCGAGGTGCCTCCTGCCGACCGCAACAGTGTCCCAATTGCTGACTCGGTCGATGCTAACTCGCAGGTGGCCATCAACATCAATTTGCCAACTGATCCTAAAAACAGCATTCGCGGGGGACCCCGACCAATAGCTCGAGAAGCGCCCGAGGGCGAAGGTGATGGGGTAAGCTTTCGGCTAATCTTCGAAATATTGCAGGCTCTACAGGCGGCGATAGCACAACTGTAGAATCAAAGCCATGCCCCCAATAGGGTCGAGCCCGAATGATCCTGGGAAAGCACTTGAAGAGATGAGCAAATTATCAAGAGACCGGGTGAATCCGAGCCCAGAGTAAATCCCTAGGTGATGAAGATGCTCGAAGAGTTGACAAAACGAGTGGAGTCGGGTGAGAAGAAGATTGAGGCTAATGACAAGAAGGTGGAAACACATAACTCCAAGGTCGATCAGATCCTGGGGGCACCCCTGATATTGAAGGACCGGATTCCAAAAAATTTATCTAGAAGCCCTTTGCTCTGAGCGTCACCAAAATCGATACCAAAGAAGTTTCGTATACCCGACATCCCCAAATACAATGGGACCACAGATCCAAATGAGCATGTAACCTCTTACACATGTGCAACCAAGGGGAACGATCTGGAAGACGATGAGATCGAGTCGGTATTACTGAAGAGGTTTGGGGAGACTTTGTCCAGGGGGGCAATGATATGGTATCACAACTTGCTCCCAAATTCTATTGATTTATTTGTTATGCCTGTAGATGCTTTCGTAAAGGCCCACGTCGGGGCCATCAAGGTCGAGACCAGAAAGTCAGACCTTTTCAAGGTCAAACAGAGGGATAACGAGATGCTCAGGGAGTTCGTGTCAAGGTTCCAGATGGAACGGATGGACCTACCACCGGTTGCAGATGATTGGGTCGTTCAGGCATTCACTCAGGGGATCAATCCCCGGAGTTCCTTGGCTTCTCAATAGCTAAAACAAAATTTGGTAGAGTACCCGGCGGTGACCTGGCCCGACGTCCACAATAGGTACCAGTGAAAGATCAGGGTCGAGGACGACCAACTCGTGGCCCTTTCTGGGTCAATTTACCCCGTCAAGGCTGATGATAGATCTAAGAGAGCCATTGATCAAGAGCCAAGACCGGTCCGAGATCGATATCAACCATACAGTTCGGACCGAAGGAGAAACGAATACGGGCTTCATCCGGTAAGGAATGAGAAGAGAAGCGATCGAGGGCCCGGCGACCGAGGATAAGCAAAAATGGATTCGATAGGCCGTTTGAAAGCAGGGAAGCATCGAGGTTGTCGGAATACAACTTCAACGTGGACACTACCAGCAATGTGTCAGCCATAGGACGCATTAACCAGACCAAGTGGCCCCGACCTTTGCAGTCCGATCCTACACAGAGATATCCCAATTTGATGTGTATGTGCCACGACACTCACGGACACTAGACCGAAGATTGCCGACTGTTAAGAGAAGAAGTTGCCCTGTTATTCAACAATGGGCACCTACGAGAATTGCTGAGTGATCGTGCCTAAAACCACTTCAGAAACAGGGACGCCAACACACAAGTCGAACAAGAGGAGCCTCAGCTCATGATCAACATGATCATTGGAGGAGTCGATGTCCCCCAAGGACCAATGATAAAGCGCACTAAAGTATATATCACAAGGGAAAAACACACCCGGGATTAAGTCCCGAGGGAGCCATTTCATTTAGCGATGAAGACGCCGAGGGAATCGTACAGCCTCATAATGATGCACTGGTAATATCCGTACTTATCAATAAATCTCAAGTTAAACGTGTGCTGATTGATCTAGGTAGCTCGGCCAACATCATCAGATCGAGGATCATAGAGCAATTGGGGTTATAGGACCAAATTGTACCAGCAGTCCGGATGTTGAACGGATTTAACATGGCGTGTGAGGCCGCTAAAGGAGAAATAACCTTGCCAGTGAACACCGCCGGGACAATCCAAGAAACAAAGTTCTACGTGATCGAGGGGGACATGAGGTATAATGCTCTATTCGGAAGGCCATGGGTTTATAACATGAGGGCGGTACCCTTGAAGTTGCACCAAGAGTTGAAATTTCTCACACTGGGGGAGTCAAGACGGTCTATGGAGAACTGCCGGCCGCAAAGGAGATGTTTGTTGTCGATGAGGTAGTCCCGGTGACTGCAGTTTCGATATCGAGGAATGCGGGACAGACTAGAAAGGAATATGTTAAATATCAATCACTGATACCGGCCTCGGTCGAACCGAATAAATAGGAGGAACGAGGAGCAGACGAAGAGGACAATTACAGCGTCCCGAGATCCTTCACAGCTCCTGATGACATCGATGCTACCAAATCAACAGCTGAAGAGTTGGAGCAAGTCATATTAATCGAGAACCTACCAGTTTGAAAGGTATAACTGGGCACGGGGTTAACCCCCGACCTCAGGAAAAAAGTTATTAATTTTCTTAAAGCTAACGTCGATTGTTTTGGTTGGTCCCATCTTGACATGACAGAGATTCCATCGTAGGTAACCACTCACAAGTTGAGTTTGGACCCGAAGTCCCATCCAGTTAAGCAAATGAGGAGGCCATAGTCCGTCAAATACGCGTTCATCAAGGATGAGGTATCCAAACTTCTAAAAATAGGATCCATCCAGGAGGTTAAATACCCGGACTGGTTAGCTAACGTAGTGGTAGTCCCTAAAAAGGGAAATAAACTAAGAATGTGTGTGGATTACAAAGACCTAAATAAAGCATGCCCTAAGGATTCTTTGCCTTTGCCTAAAATCGATCGAATGATTGACGCGATGGCCGGGCACGAGATACTCAGCTTTCTCGACGCCTACTCCGGGTACAACCAAATTCGGATGCACCCGAAAGATCAAGAAAAGACTTCTTTCATTACCAAATTCGACACCTACTATTATAACATAATGCCGTTTGGATTAGAGAACGTCGGTGCCACCCACTAACACCTAGTAAATCAGATGTTTGAAGAACAATTAGGGATATCAATGGAGGTTAATAATAACGATGTGTTGGTCAAGTCCCTTCGAGTAGAGAACCATTTGAAACATTTGCAGCAAACCTTCGACATATTAAGGAAATACAACATGAAGCTAAACCTAGGGAAGTGCGCATTCGGGGTCGGATCGGGAAAATTCCTCGGGTTCATGGTATCCAATCGGGGGATCGAGATCAACCTCGGCAAAATAAAGGTCATAGAGGACATTACCATGGTGGACAACGTCAAGGCAGTTCAAAGACCGACCGGGCGTATAGACGCATTGGGCCTGTTCATATCGAGGTCCTCAGACAAGAGCTGTCGATTCTTCTCACTATTGAGAAAGAAGAACAACTTTTCTTGGAACCCGAAATGCCAGCAAGAATTTGAAGAACTCAAACAATATCTATCGAGCCCCTTCCCCCCTCCCCACTGCACACTCCGAAGGCAGATGAACAACTGTACCTCTACTTAGCGATTTCTGAGGTGGCGGTAAGTGGTGTCTTAGTCCAGGAGGAAGAAGGTATGCAATTTCCTATTTACTATGCCAGTAGAACTCTAGGTGAGGCCGAATCAAGGTACCCTCACCTGGAAATTAGCGTTTTTTTTGCTGGGCGTTTCCAGGAAGCTAAACTCGTACTTTCAATGCCACCATATATGCGTCGTAACCTCTTACCCACAAGGAATATCATGCATAAGCCCAAGCTCTCAGGCCGGTTGGACAAATAGGCCGTGGAGATTAGCGGGTACGATATCGAGTATCGACCCCGAGCAGCCATAAAATCTCAAATTTTGGCAGACTTCGTGGCCAACTTTACGCCGGCCTTAATACCCAAGAATTCCTCACCTCGAGGACTACTTCAGGAATTTGGACCCTCTTAACGGACCGTGCCTCCAACACGAAGGGGTCCGCGCTCGGTATCGTATTAAAGCCACCTACAGGAAGTATAATTAGGCGGTCTATTAGAACTGTGAAATT